CAGATCTGTAAGGTCGCGTTGCTTGATCATCCTTTTCAAGCCAACTGGATCCCGTTTTTTTCAATCATACCTTATATTATGATGATTTGAACATGTCAGTTGTTACGTGGCATATGTTGTTATGTGGCATAAGGGATGCGATTCATAAAACTAGCGAAGCAGTACTGGGAAAGTCCAACAAAAAGAAACAACCAGATTGGTTTAACGAAAATCAACCTCATATACAGACCTTCTTGGAACAAAAGCACAGAGCACATCAAGCAGTCATTGCAAATCCGCATAATCCAAGACTGGTAGACAACTTTAAAGCAGCCAACAACACGCTTCGAAGAAATCTGCGCCAAGTAAAGGATGATTGGTGGTCACAAAAGGCTGATCAGATTCAAGAGTACGCCACGCATCACGATTATGGTAAATTCTTTCAGGCTGTTAAAGAAGTATATGGCCCAACCAAGAAGGTAAGCTGCCCAATCATGGCAGAAAATTGCGAATTTCTAAAAGAGGAAGAGCAAATTAGAAACCGCTGGAAAGAGCATTACAGCCATATCCTTAACCAAGAAAACAACCCCAATATGGAAGCACTAAACACAATACCTCAGTATAACAGCCTCGATGTATTAGATACCCCAATAACAGAATAGGAAATAATGGCATCCATAAAACAGCTTAAAAACAACAAATCAGCTGGCTGTGACGCGATCCCGGCGGAAATCTATAAGTGTACAAGTAAAGAACTTATTGGTCATCTTAAGGCTCTCTTCGATGTCATATGGGAAAGCGGAGAGGTACCTCAGGACTTTTGCAACGCGAATATAGTGAATATATTTAAGAACAAAGGAAGTGAAGAATATATTTAAGAACAAAGAAAAATTCTTGTAAAAATTATGTCAAATCGCCTTCACCCACATATAGAAAGAATCCTTCCAGAATCGCAAACGGGTTTTCGCACCAACCGTGGCACAGTCGAATCCATATTTTCCATCCGCCAACTACAGGAAAAAGTAAAAGAGCAGCAGTCTAAACTTTATGTTGCATTCATCGATCTAACAAAAGCCTTCGACTCTGTGAACAGAGACGATGCACTTTGGGCAATTATGAAAAAGTTCGGAGTACCCAACAAATTTCTTACAGTGAGTGAAAGCCTCCATAACAACAACCAGTCAAGAGTGTCACATCATGGATCACTGAGCGATCACTTCATGACTATTACAGTAGTTAGGCAAGGATGTGTCGTAGCGCCTCTTCTATTCAACATACTCATGGCAGCGCTCTCCATTATAGTGGACAGCAAACTGCAGGAGAGAGGATTGGGCATTAGATACAGATATGACGGCGGTCTGTTCAACATAAAAATACTGAGGGCAAAAACACGTACAAAATTCATCACAGAACTTCAATACGCTGATGACTGCGCTCTAGTTGCAAACACGTTACAACAATTACAAGAAATGTTGAACACATATACCTGGGCATACGAGGCTTTGGGCCTTAAGCTAAACATCGACAAAACCAAAATCATTTGTACTCCCCCGGAAGATCATAACAATGCTGTAAAAATCGGAGAGGAACTATTGGAATATGTAGCGGAATTTAATTACCTCGGCCGTTTGATTTCGGAAAAGGCCAATATCGACTCTGAAACTCAGCACAGGATAAGCAGCGCCTCAAGAGCATTCTGGAAATTAAAAGACAGGGTTTTCTACAATCATGACTTGAGTACAAAAACGAAACTGGCAGTGTAACGAGGAATTATAATCCCCACCATGTTATATGGGAGCGAAACCTGGGTGCCGTACCGCCGACACATGAAGGCATTAAACAAGTTGCAACAGAGACACCTTAGACAACTCTTAAGAATCCGGTGGTTCTATCATGTCTCAAACGTATCGGTCCTTGAAGAAGGTCCGACAGTATTTGCGACAGTATTGAAGTCATGGTTACAAAATCCTGCTGAAGATGGGCTGGTCACGTATGCAGAATGCAAGAAAACCGCATACCAAAATCTCTGCTTTACGATGAGCTTGTAGACGGTAAGAGGAGGCCGGGTGGACAACTCAAAAGGTACAAGGACATTTTCCACGAAAACTTAAAGGGGCTTAACATGCAGAATCATTGGGAAGAAGCAGTTCACAATAGAACTCAATGGAGAAGAATTATAAACTCAGTTAAGAGCGACAACCACAAAAGTAAAGAGACAACAAAGCAATGAGATTTTTGAATGTCCGGAGTGCGGTAGGCAAATAACATCACGTATCGGGCTTTTCAGTCACAGAAAAGCTCATGAAAGAAAACGCCTTGCGTAACCATCTTTTGATGCGTGTCGAATACTCGTCAGCGAGTAATAGCAGTATGTATATGTATGTATGCCAAAATTACTTTTTTTGTTATTTCGTATACCGAATTGATTTTAATTTTTTTTCAATCGTTAAAATAAATCTCTTGTTGCATAGCTTTCGGTATTGTATCTTTATGATTAAAAGAAAAATTGAATAGATGTAGAGCACCAAGAAATCTCTCAGCGCTTGATAACGGTTATCGAAAAAATTATAAAGCATTTCCCAACTATTAATTAGCTCTATTTCCATATTAATATTATCCATAAAATACTCTTAACTCGAAATTATTATGTTATAGTCAAAGAGCTAGTAACGTTTTCGAGAAAGTATTTTAAGAAAGCTGGCTCTTTTACTATGCTCTCTGGAACAGCATGCGGGCGGTCTGGCTGCCGATACACTACTGCGCATCGGAAGAAGATCCTATATATTTTTTTTATTTAGTCCGTTAAATTCTAGTATTGAATATAAATGGAATATTAGCTATTTATTTTTTTGAATCACCAGAATTATTTAATACTTTTATTTTTAATCAGAATATCAACGAAAATAAAATAAAAAAGATTTATACGCCGAGCCGCTCTCGAACTCGAACTCCTCGCTTCATAGGCGGAACCTTTTCGCGCTGCGCTATGGAGACTCGCTCTGTTTTTACTCAAAATATAGGATCTTCTTTCAATGCGCAGTAGCGAACGCAACGTTTACCGGCAGCCAGACGGCCCGCACGCTATTCCAGAGAGCATAGTAAAAGATGTATCAAAGAGCCAGATTCTAAAATACTTGTTTTCCAGACGTTGCTAGCTCTCGTACTATTATGAAATCATCAGTTATTGGTCTATTTGAAATAATTAATTACATGATGACAATGATAATAAAAAAAATATTTTAAACTGTTACCTAGTGATCACTTTAAGGCTAAGGCTATACTTAAAGTTAGGCTAAATAAAGGAAGATTAGTTAATGAAAGGCACTTACTGTATAATGAAGAACACAAACATTAGTAGACAGAGACAGAAGCCGTAGGCGACTGCCTTGGACGCCCCCTATCGAGAGAGCGACTGGCCAATAAATATGACAGACAACGGTAGTCACTCAGTGTCGGGGGGATGGGGTGTAAACACACGCAATTGTAGTATATTGTACAGCACTATAGCACTAAACAGCTCTGCTCAAGTAGAACAATGTATGCTAGACACTAAGTGTTGGTCAGTACGCACAGAACTCAGGTCTAAACAGAACAGGACTGCAGAGGTTTTCTCAAAATACTTTAAAAATAACAGAAAAATTTAATATTATAAAATTAATATTGTCAAGGAGTTACTAACTGCAACTAATATTATTAATAATTATTATTATACCCAACTCAAGTTTTCGTTGGTTTCAATATTTTTCTTATATCTTATTTATATAATGGGCAAGACTCTAGCTACAACTCTTTCTTTTTTGATGTCTCAGAAATTTGTTTCTGCTATGACTGATGTCTTTTGATGTCTCGGAAATTTGTTTGTAGTATGATTGTATGTACGTTATTAAGCATAAAAATATATTCAGAAAACATTCAGAATGGTTTCTGCATAGCTACAAATACTCCAAATAATTCAATCTAAGATATTTTTCATTAGTTATTAAACTTAAAGGATATACAGGGTGTCCCAATATTCAGTGGACTAGAGAGCATCAAACTTTAAAAAAATAAATATATTTTTTCAGATATTTTAAGAACCATTATTCCGATTTGAATGAGATTTTGGAAGACTATATTTTGCTAAGTACTTTAACATGTTTTAATAAATTTATTTTCCAAAGCAGACCTATAAAATATACAGGGAGTTCTAATATTCTGTGGACATAGAAGAACTATGTATTTTTTGAATCAAAATAAGTTAATTGCACATTTACATTTATACAAAAGTGCTTCGTTTGTCCGTTAGAGGGCACCAAGAAAAAATAAACCAGAACGTTAATTAATTTGAAATTTATCAATTTTTTAAGCTTGTTATGAAGCTTTTTGTCAAATATAATTTGTGGTACTAAAATAAAATTCCATATTTTCGCCAACTAGATTATTAGAGCATAATAGATTTTATGTGCCTCTATAGCTTCATGTGACAAAAACGTTTTTTTTTTTTGGAAATCTGCTTCGGGAAAATAAATTTTTCCTCATATATATGTGAGTATAATTCAGGTATGTCTCAATATAGAATTTTGAGGTACATATTCTGGACACCATTATCGTATTGTAGAGGAAGCATTGAGTTGTATTATTGCTACTGATATGGAGACAAAGTGATTGAAACTTTTTAAATCAAAGCTAAAGTATTCTTGTTTTAATCTATCTTATAACCCCCCCTCCCCTTCACTAAAATAAATATTGCACATTTTAGTTCTAAATAAATGCGAGGTTTAATAAAATACTCAAATAAAATTTAATAAATCTAAAATTCTAATGCTACTGGTATAAATAAGTATTCTTTAGTTTTTTTATCGTAATCATTTTACAAAAACTAAGGTACTACACCGTAGACGTTCTAAAGAGACTAGTACTCTATTGCAGCTGTAACTACCACAGTCAATCCTGTTCTGTTTTCGACAACAGAGTCCTTGCAAAATAAAACAAATATAACCCTGCAAAATATTAAACAAATATTAACACAAAACAGCCAGTGGTTTGGTCTAATAACTTTGGTTTAATAACAATAGAAAATAAAGGTACAATTCAATTAAAGTACATGCTCAATATGTATATTAAGGTAGTAATATAATAATGTAAAGACTCAAAATGGAAACATAATAAGTCACTCAACAATTACAAAAAAAAAGAAAAAACTGTGGCCTATAGGAATTAAAGAGAAAAACTTAAACAACAGAGGATGTCTACGCGCGCACGCCACGATAACAAACAATTTTACAGAGATATAGAAAAAAAATAACTAAAATACCTAATCGAAAAACCAGAAGAAAAAAATCAACATAAACCCAACATAACATTTATATACGGTACATCCTCGTCATATACTTTAGGTTAAGCAGAAATATAGGTTTCTTGTAACTGTAAATTTGATTGATGAATTTGCGCATCGGAGACATCAGATTCAGTCATCTTTAAGTGTAATAATTATTGGCTAGAAGTCCATTTATTTGTTTTTTTTGCAAATCTAGTGCTAAAATTGTTTAAAAAGTCCCGATGCGATTCTTCATAACCTTGTTACAAGAGCCCTATATTTTTGCCAGAGATACAGCCATTTATAGAACCAGTATGGTGTGCTCACATATACATATCTAATTTTCCACTCCATCAAAGATTCGATTTTGATGACAACCGTCAAATTAGGTAAAAATAATAAGATATTAAATGGAATGTTTTCCTCATCTGCTCAGTTATTATTTACAAGAATGCCCAAAGAATAAGCCAAAGTAAATGTATAAAAATCTCTTAATATAGTTTTTTCAATATCGTTAATGATAATATTTTTTTCGAGAACTACGATATTTATATTATTTATTAATTGTTCATTTTTCTGTAGCATTTATTCTTATTGTTTTATACAGTTAATGTTCATCAAATTTTCATTAAGATAGAACTCACTTGACATATTTTTTATACACAGTGCTAAAATATGTTTTTTTTCATAACTTGATAAGGTATGATAGCCCGTTAATAATATAATAAAAAATAAATTTAATACATTAAAATACATATCTTTTAGAAGTTTCTTTATATCCATTGGTGTTAAAATTGTAAAAAAAACTTGAAAACGATGCTTTAAAAAAATCTGTGGTTGGACCTATTTTACCTGTAAATAAGACATACAAACCAAATAAAATTCTTCTTAGGAACTCTATTCCAACTATATATCATATTTATGTTATACTTGCTAAATTATTTTCTATTTTTCTAAATTTAACCAATTAGTTAGGTAGGTTTTTCTATATTAAATATACCCAGCTATTCAATTAAAATGTATGCTTATTAGTGAAGTTTTTGACAGTGAAACTGTTATGGCGTGATTTATAAGCAGTAGTTGCTAAACGTTAAAACCGTATTAAAATATAAATAAATAGTTTTTAGAACATTTGGTTTTTGTTTAAAAACTATATTTTTTTAATTGAAATTTTAACGATTAACAAGAATCCCAAATATCTGTCAATGTTACTGTCGAGAACTGTAGTAATGCAGATGTAGTAAAGCCCAAAATGAAATGTTACTTCTACGCTTATGGTGATTATTATTTGATCGTTTGAAATGGTTATTATGATAAATGAAATGGTTTTTAAATTAAATGACGTCATTATGATTTGAAAAATAAAAATAAATGTATATCGAAGATAGGGGGATAAATAGATGTTAGGCTTTTCAAAATTATGAAAAAAAGCATATTTGGCACTCTTTATAAAAAATATTTGATGCAAAATTCTGTAATTTTTTATCATCATATTTTTTTATCATATAAAATTAAATATAAATGATATTTGATATGGATTTTACGAACGTCACTGTATAACGGGCATAGTATGGACATAAATAAACAAAGAACACGATATGTTATATAAATAATGATAAAAAGAAAGACAAACTAAAAACAACAACGACTGATGGAGCACGTACAAGTCTAACAAATAAAAGAAAGAAAAAACTGACACCTTACTGGTTCTCGATCATCATCAAATATTAAAATGTGAGACCATATACAATAATTAATCTTATTAATGTACAGGGCGATCGTCTTCGTTCACTAGTAAAAATATTTCAATAGTTTCTATAGCAGCTAAATCCTGAGTTGGGAACACTGCACTGGCGCGGTGCTTCTTTGTACAAGGGAGACGTAGTACAAAATTAATTTTTGGGGTGTACTGGCTTTTTTATCTTATCATTTTTTTGTTTGTTTTGTTTTAATTTTTACTTGGTGGGCTAATGGAATGAGGTCGGTATTCGGTTTTGTCTTGTTTGCTAGTCGAAAGTTCATTATAATAGATATTTTAAAATTTATTTAAAAATGTTTGTTTCTGGATTACTGTACCAAGATTATTTAGAATAAAAGGTGTGTAATTCTCATTTCTTTTACATGAAAAGATCTAGTAAATACTAAATGAGATAAGTAAATACTAACTCATTAATATAACCAAAACTTTAAAATTACTACTGGCCATGAGCTCCGATATTTAATCAAGAACTATATAAAATACTTTCTAGTAATATTTTCCTGAATAAATAATTTATCTCTTATGTTTTTATGATGTTATTTTCAAATGTAGCATATACAAAAGGTGTTTCAAATTAAGTTTAATGCTGATAGCCTAAAGTCAATAATTTAACCAAAGTTTAAAATTATTTGGATATCATAAAATTACTAAAATTCTACTTTTGATGTTGAATATAAGCTCACACATTACTTATTTACACAACTTATATTAAGTATTTTTTCTGTTATATTTTAACCGTCATATATTTAAAAGCTTATAAAAATACGTTCTTAAAATAAATTTAATGCTATATCAATTAGGGATGATTAGTATTGATTTACATAGCAAATCATAAACGGGATGAGTGAATTATAACTGAATATCAATAATTTAACAAAAATCATAAAATAATTAAAATTCTATACTTGAAGTTGACTATGAGCTTGCATTATTATACCCTAAAGTATATAAAAAGTGTTATAAAAATATTTAATTCTATATTGACTATATTTATATATTTGTTATAGGTATCTTGATCATATTATTTTCAAAAAAGCAGGCGCTCGAAAGAAATCAATTTAATAATTTATTAACTAGTTATACAAATTTATAATCATATATAAACCTAAATCTTAAATGTTTTTGTGATTATTCTGAAATTTTTAAAATTCTACCTTAGATGTTCTATGATAAATATAATATGAGTGTGAAACATATTAATTTTTGCCAAAAAGTACAAAAGTACGTTTTCTAAAAATATATAATTTTCTCATGATATTACTTTTAAACTAAGCAGTAGACACAATAGGTGTACTAAAATAAATATTATATACTCATATATTAAACATGACAGATATTCTATTTAGTGTACTATCTAGTAAATACTAAACAGAATAAATTAGCGATAACTTAAATGTCACTAATTTAGCTAAATTGTAAAATTAATTGGATTATCAGAAAATAATGAAAATGTTATCTCTTGGTGGTGTTGAGTACGAGCCCAAATGTTTTTGCCATATTATTTTAAAATAGAACAGATATACAAATGGTGTTAAAATAAAAGTTTTTAAAATGGTGTTCTTAAATTCTACGTACAAGTGATGACGGATATGTCCTGTTATAGATTTTAATTAAGATATAATTTATACAATATACTTCAACAGTTATTGTAAATTATACTATTAAAATCTAGAATATATGTTTGGACCGATGTTTTCTTTTAGATTCTAGGGTAATAAAAGCTACTTAAATTGTTATTTGTTGTATGTCTGCTTATATAGTTTATGCTGTAAAAGTGTGTAAGAATAATCTCGGTAAAAGTAACGATTCTATAAATTTAAAAATTGATATATTTTTCTAATTTTTCGTGGTGGTTTAACTTCGCTTCTCTCTTTAGTTAAAAGCTATTATTTTCCAACGGTTAGATAATAGTTATATGCTTATTTTTGAGTCAATATTGTCATAGTAAATTCTCTTTATGTTAGATTTGTAAAGATTAATTAGTTACATTTTAGAATAATTTTGCCAAAAAAGAATACAACTTAAATATTGGTTACTAATACTGGGTATTCAATTTAAATTATTGTTGAATATGTTAAAATCTTTGGTACAAATTAGTAGCTATAAAACATAAATTAAATAAAATATACAATATTATAATACACTGGCCATTGTTTTATTTAATTTAAACCATTTCAAATTATATTATATATTTCCTATGTTGTTAAAAAGGACATGTTTTTAAATTAATCTTATACAATCTCTAGATAAATCAATTTAATTATTCAGTACTGCCATAAGTGTTTTAAAATTATTAATTTTCGTTTAAAATTATATAATATTGCTTAAATAATTTGATACCTTTCAAAATATCTAATCATAATGGTAAATCTTCTCTAACTGTGATATTGATTTTATTCTACATAATATTTTGGTTAGTTTTAATTTTTTATGTTTTTTGGATTTTCTATTAATTATTAATTGAATTTTTGTTGTTTTGGATATTATTCTATTCTATTTTTTCCCCTGCTTTATAAAGATATTCCTTTCTATTTAAAAGATCTTAAATAGATATTCTCTTTGATTTTAAGCAAAACTTAATATGTAGATTAGAAATAAATGTATATCTGTATGCTTACAGTTTTTAACTATGTTAGATAAAATATGGTTATAATAAGGATCATCAAACTAATAATAGAATAAATTTACTAACGTCACGAAAATATTATGATATCGTAGATAAATTATAAAACTTAAGTCTATCTTACAAGAAATATATAAATTTGGATGCATCATATTCTATAGTAGAACAATGTAGGCTATATTAAATTTATTTAAATTTACTGAATAAATCTTTTTGCTTTTTTATTAGTGTCTGATGATCTTGATCTACAATTTTAATAACTTAACAGTCTCTAAAATAACAAGATAAATTATAATTTAGGATTATACTTAGTTTGAAGTTACTGAAACTATGATCTTACAATTCCAGGAAGCATACACTTTCAAACACACTTCTCTTATGATTTTATATTAAATTTATTATTTTCTTGTAGATTTCTTTTTTGTTTTCTTATAAAGATACTCTAGAAAATTAAAAAATATACTTTTTTAAGGATAATTTTTAGGTTTAGAATCTCGAAATATAAATTTTACTTGCTCATAGTTTACAACTGTGTTGCAATATAAAATTATCATAAGGGCACAATTACAATTATAACAGAAAAAAGTATGTAATTACAAATCATATATTTAAGTATTAAATTATTTTTATTGTACTGTAGTTATAATTGTACTGTATTTATATTAAAAATAAATATTTGGTTGCTATGCAATAAATTTAAATTTTTAAATTTTACTGAGTGACACCTTTTATGCTTCGCATAATAATTGTTCATAACTTTGACTCTAGAAATTTTATAATTTTTTTTTCCAATTTTCCATTAGGAATCTGAAATAAATACATGTAATTTTTATAGGGAAATACATAGTTTTTGTGCGCCATCAAATCTAAAAAATATAAAAGTTACTTGCTCATATTCGAAAACTAAGCTAGAGCATAGATATAAGAATAATATAAGATTATATCACAAGGAGTATAATAAAATTATAATATAATAAAGTTACTGGCTTCAAGTTAAAATAGTGAATTAAAAAAAAATATATATATGTAAATTTGACTATAATTCTTCACTTTTTTCTAATCGTTGATAATATTGAATCTCGAGATTAAATTTAGACGTTTATTATAAAACTGTTTATTTTTTAGAATGATAGGCATATGTATCCTATATGATTCTAAAGAGTAGTCCATAAAACACTAAAGCTTTCATAGTTTTTTGTGGTTATAGTAAGAAAATAATACTTGCTCTTAGTTTATAATTATTATGCTAGAGTTTGCATATGATAATATTATTATAGGAAACTATTACAATGATAAGAAAATTATGAGCGATCATATTATTTTCAATACCAGTAGATATAATAGAGGTGTATACTAAAATAGATACAATACTCAACTGGTCATATATTTCTATCTAGTAAATACAAAACTGAATAAGTTAACCTAAAGTTAACCTAATTCATAGTGCCTGAGTGTATAATTATTTTTTGGACTATCATAAAATTATTAAAATTTTACCTCATGATGTCTGAGCCTGGGTGTTAACTCAAGAAAAATCTAAGATGTCTGAGCTGTCTGGGCCTCATGCCTGAGTCCAAAGTGTTAACTCAAGAAAAATCTAAAAATGTTTCCTGATCTTAATAATTTTATCTTGGAATGTCTCGATCGAATTATTTCAATAGATAATAGATATTCAATTGATATATTTTTCAATTTAAGTCAAATGATGACAGATCTACTCTTATGGATTTTCATTAAGTTATAATTCATACAATAAATTTCGACAGCTATTGTTAACTATACAATTAAAATCTACAATACTTAATACGATCGATGTTGTGATTCTGTGGTATTGAAAGTTACTTAAATTGTTATGTTTAATAAAGTTACTGGCTTGAATACAAATCATTAAAAGTATATATCAGTTATAAGTAGTACTTTCGTTTTTAGCAAATATAAATCTCTACTGTTGAACCTTTGTGCCGTAAATATTCTTCTTATTTACTGATAAAAATAAAAAAACAAATTCTGTCTTTGAGAGTTTTGAGTGTAAAAAATTGAGACTATGGTTTTGAGAAACAAACTTCGACTATTTTCTTTTGGATTCTATGGTATTAAAAGTTACTTAAATTGTCATTTATCGTGTGACTGCTTATTTGCAGTTCCATAATAAAGTTACTGGCTTGAAGAAAAAAAATTATAAGTAATATTTAGGTAAAATCCGGCAGCATGATACACTCTACTGTTGAATATTCTGTGCTCTAAATATTTTTGTAATTTATTACAACACTTCGACTGATTTCTTTTAGATTCTATGGCAAAAAAATTATATAAAATGTCATTTATAGTATGTCTGCTTATATGCAGTACCATAATAAAGCTACTTGATTGAGGAAAAATCATTAAATGTTTACACAAATTATAAGTAATATTTACGTAAAACACAGGCAGCATGATACTCTACTGTTGAATCTTCTGTGCTCTCAATATTCTTGTAATTTATTGATAAAAATAAAAGCTTTTTTATGTCGTTAAGAGTTTTGAGTCTTAAAAATTGAGACTATAGTATTTATTGAGAAACAAACACTTCGACTGTTTTCTTTTAGATTCTATGGCAATAACTAAAAGTTATTTAAAATGTAATTTATCGTATGTCTGCTTATATGCAGTACCATAATAAAGTTACTGGCTTGAATTAAAATCCGTCAGCATGATACTCTATTGTTGAATCTTCTGTGCTCTAAATATTCTTGAAATTTATTGACAAAAATAAAAGTACTGAGAATTTCGAGCCTAAAAAACTGAGAATTTATAGTATTTGTAAAGAAACAAACACTTCTTTTGTGAACTTTCGACTAGCATCCCCATTACCCCGACCTACCGACCCCCCATCCGCACAGCTCACTGCGTAAACCTACTATATATCTTTGGTTAATACGGTTTGGCCGCCTCCTTGGCCCGCTTCAGCTGCACTTTGAGCCTCTTGGTGCCGATTTGGAAGCCGTTCATAGCCGCTATCGCCTGCTGGGCGGACGAGGCGTTATCGAACGACACGAAACCGAAACACTTGGACAGGTTCGTTTGTTTGTCAATGAACACTTTGGCGGAAATGACTGGGCCGAAGGGGAGGAAGGTGCTGGCCAGGTCGGTGTCGGTGAACTCCTGCGGCAGGTGGTAGATGAACAGGTTGCAGCCCTCCGGACCTGGAAAGAGAACGGTGTGGATTAGTTGATGGTTTTAGATGTGAAGGATGTTGGAGAGGCGAAAGAGATAAAGAGCAAGCAGATGATCGTTCGCTTAAGATGCCAGGCAGTTGATTTATGGATCTAAGTTTATCAAAAGATGCTTTCCAGTCAGATGTTCTAGATTTATTCGCAGGATAATATATTTATACAGTGTTCAACCACCATGATCGTGTGTCATAGTTTAACAGTGGACACTGACATATTATGCAATTTCTTCATTTAATTAATTAAAATATTATTTGTTGATCAGCAATACAGAAGTCATATTTGAGTTTGATCTTTAGAAAATGAGATCTAATCATATTCTGTCCGTGTAAACATGGATCAAAAATATATATCATGGCCAAAATGCCGTAATGTTTTTATAGATAACCATGCAATCAAATTTCATTTATGTAATATACAGGGTGTTTCAAAAAACATGTGCCATCCTCATGTAAAAATTAGATTTATTTTTCATATTAACATAGGTCCGATTCTATTTTGTTTACAGGGTGTTTTGTTTTGGTTTGGTTTGGAAATGCACAGTTTTAGTTTTACATGATGTTAAAACTTTTTAAAATTATTTTTTTTGTAATTATATTAAATACCATTATTTTTTTATTTCAAATTGCTTAGGTTTGACTAATAGTAATAATTACTAATAGTAATATTTTTTAATAAATTAGATAAAATTTTTATTTTATTATTTTTATTTTAATTGCGTTTATCTCATCAAGGAGGCCGAATTCGACAAAATACCAAGAGATACCTAACTTTTAATTGGCGTCAAACGGCCTATACAATTTTGATATCAAAAGAAAAAAGTCAGTGCCGCAAATTTTTTTTATTGAAAAAGATTCCAGTGATAACCCATATGCACGTCCCTGATGAATTTATCGACACTTTTTTAGCATTAAAATATGTAGGACTTATGTAACTTTTACAAAAAAAAAATTACAATAAATCGAAATATTATTAAGACTTTAACACCCTGTAGCTACGAAACAAAGCAGAATCGGACGTAAGATGTTGATGTGAAAAATAATTCTTATTTTTTCGTGAGGAATGTTGAATCAATAAAAATATATCCCTAAATAAAAACATCTTATGATAAACAATAAAGATAGATAATTAATTTGATATCGGTATATGCATAAGAAAAGTTAATTCAACTGTATTTAATATATTACATATACAGGATGAGTCTTAAATAGCTGCAAATATTTTAGTATTTAAGTAGTATATTTCGACCCCAGAAATACGTCTATTATTTTTTTTCTCAAAAAAGTTGAAAAATTTGTATTTAAAAAAAATAATTTCTTTCTGTCTGAATTTACAGAAGGATCCAGTGGTTCATATGCGCAATTTTTTTTATTTTCAAAGTAAAATAACTTGGTTATTTTGGACCTTTTTTTTATTATTACCTTATTTGAAAAAAGGTAAAGAAGAGAGTTACTTAGAAAATCTACCAGCCTTGAAAATATTTGCATTTATCTAAGACTAACCCTGTATAAATCGGCATAGTATAAATAATTAGGGCTAGTTATACTTTGTCATAATATAATTTTGTAAAAAAATGTAATAAAGAAATGTCTATCATATGAAGAAAAATTATGCTGATATAATAATTTCTTTGGTACATATTGAATTTTCTAAATTTATTACAAAATATTTAACTTCTTTATGATTTATTTTTTTTCTAAATAATGAACAAATCTCAGTTAATTTAATCTATTATTGAATAAATGAAATTGAATCATAAAATTTATAGGTATTTAAGTTTTATAACAAAAAACCATTACATATTGAAATAAAAGTTATATATAATACGTTTATCAGTGAAATACTAATTTATACTAAAAAAATTATATGCACCAATTCAATCATAAAAACTAATTTTTTTAACAAAACCTACCTAAAAATATAATATACATAAAAAAAAATTATAGACTCTTATAGATTCTATCAACTACCAATCCATATTTTACCTCATTCACATATCATAGTAAACAAAGCATATTAATTGTCATTAACATCTATAACTTACAATTTCCATGTCATATAATGAAAGCTTAACGATGCGAGAAAAAACTATGCAATCTTATCGTACTAATCCCTAAAGTCGTTTATCATGTATTCGTGCAGCAAGCTTCGGCAGTTTTTCAAATAAATTCTTGAGTTGCATGCATGCAAGCGCGTAAACATTGGCGCCGACGATGTCGGGCCAAAATGCTTCCGTTAGAGATATCTTGTTTTAGAAATTGTTGTGAAATATATATTCTTTGAATATGCAGATTTACTACTACCAGAATCATTATCGCTTGTAATTACTGATTTTTTTATACAGGGTGGCGCACCTCACTCGCCTCGGTTGATTATACGAACGGAAAGATGTAGAAACAAAATATTTTATGTGGGGAGACCATGTGCACAATTTACAATATACAGGGTGTTTCAGAACTAAGATCCATACCAAACTTATAATTTTTCTTATGGGACACCCTGTATTTTATTTCATTTTTGGATTCTTGGGCGCATTTATTATAAGGGTTAATGGTTAAAATCTTCAGTTTTTAAGATATTTAAAGATTAACACCCTATACATTACTTTTCAGAATTAATTCTTATGCTGAGTTTAAATATAGGGAAATAAACTTTACTGAAAAATGGTATTGCTTTCTTAAATTTATACAGGGCTATCAAACATTGCCCTTATAATAAATGCCTTTTTTTGGGCCCAAGAATCCAAAAATGAAATAAAATACCGGGTGTGTTCCACAAGAAAAAAATATAATTTTAATCTTAGTTCTGAAACACCCTGGATATTTCAAAATAATTTTAAATTGCGCACATTACCTCCCCACATATACCCATAAAATATTTTATTTCTACATCTGTCCGTTTTCGTATAATCAACCGAGGCGAATGAGGTGCGCCACACTGTATATTTAAAAAAAATATCTAAATAACAGCAGTTTTAAAATTTGTTTCATAAATTATAATACTTTTTTATTTTATTTTTTCACCATTTTCTGTTTAGGAATTTATAATTAACATTTACCATATTATTTAAAAATGCATATTTCACAGATCTAAATCACAAAATATCTCTAACTGAAAAAGACATAGTAGTAGCAACAAATACAGAAACATTGCTATTGATAAAAAATATATAATAAAATAGTATCACTAATTTTATTTTCTGTGAAGTTGATATTACCGTATGTTTCTGTATAAGCTAACTCTACAGTTTCCCCTATGAAGCAACCATTACGAAATTAGAACGGACCACAAGAATCGGTGTCTGGTTGTAGTGGCCTTCTAATGACAAAGTCGGCATAAAGTAAAACTAGAAGCCGACTCTAACGATTATGTCGTTTCGCTCCAGTAACAAATGAACATCGTCGCTGCTCTAGCCCACCCTGATGGCGTGCGAGGATTAGATGTCACGTAATCCGTGGTACGTCGGTCGAGTCCTAGTTTTACTTGTTTTCGTAATAACAGACAGACAGTCCTTAGGCTAGAGCCGGCAACGGCTTAGAACAATAATATAAATGCTGATGCTATACTACTACATACGTTGCTTTTGCTGTTTTTCTTTCAACAACCTTCTCCTGACAGCTAGAAGGCATAAAATACCTTATTTAAATTATTACACTCTGTTCTGGATTCAATTTATTAATGGTTTTCAGTGAACCATTGATTTTTTTTTAAAATAATCACAATTGGAGTTTTCAATATTTTTATAGATATTAGCGCAAAAAGTATTTGTTAAAACAAACTTAATATAAAGCTTTTAACATATTTACTTTTTAAGCTTACAGAAATGCATAGTAATTTACGATTTCCTAATAGGGTAAAATAAAACATAAACAACGGGGATGAGGAATGATTTTATAGTTATTTACAGTACAAGTGTGTTTATGAACATGATTACAACAACGTGTGTGAACGATTACGAGTGTGAACTCGGTCTACGACCTCGTCGTTCTAATCACACGAGTGTTGTAATCATGTTTAAACGCAAGTGTCATGTACAACGTTTTATCTACAACCGAAAAATAAGAAAATGCTGTTTTAATTTTCGTTTATTAGTCGTCCACCTTTAGCACCTTTAACTATGACATTTGTCACATTTTTTTAATTATAATTGTCATCATCAGCAGAAGGAATTGTTTTGAAGAAGTGTAAAAAATGGTGTTATTAATATTTATAATAATTAGTAGTAGGAATTTGTATCAAAAATTAATATATTTAGAGGTTCGTAGTTGTTTTTCATTATTATGAAAACTAGTTGTGTTATAGATTCATAATACCACTATACTCTGTTTTTTTTTTCTCAGGTAAGATTTCGACAGACGATGACAGAAGAAAAGCAGATGACGTCCCATACCAATCTATTTATTTTACTAAAAAAAGCTCTAATAATTTTTGAGTTAACTATGGATGGGTTTAAATATAAATTCGTCATGTGTCGCCACTTGTTGTTTTTAACCAGTTTTATTGGTTTATTTCAAAAATGACAGATCGTATTTCAATTTTATTGGTTTGACGGAACGATGAACGACAAACGGACGCCGATGCGTATGAACTCGCCTTTAGATTTTTGACGTTTGTCAAAGTCTTGCCAAATTATAGGTTATAATTTTGTGACAACTTTTGTCAAATACCCTGCGTTTTGGAAGATGATGCACTTTGATTCGTGTTATTACGTGTGTTTTGTGTCTTTTGAAGTCAAGTGGAGGAAAAATTGAGTGAAAATTAACTGTTGAACCCAGAGCACAGTTTAGGGTTAATACTCGCTGCCCAGGCAGAAAGTCTTATACAGATACACAAATAAAGTTACTATCAATAAAGTTCGTATACCATCTCGTCGTAGATAAGTGCATCTCGAATATGGTAGAAGGACCATACTAAACACATACTAAAAACTGGAGTAGCTGTAAAATATCGACATCACACGATAGGTAAATAAT